TTAGCATAGCTGGCAGCTACGGAGATAGCCGTCAGCCACTGCCTGTCAAAACGTTTATCGACCTCCAGTTATACGATAGCCGTCAGCTATTCTGACTGTAACCGTAACCGACACTTGCAAGTGGTAATTTCGTACAGATAGCCGTCAGCTATTTATTGTACATGCGTAAGACGATGTTTGTTAAATTTAGAGGTTAATATTTTTATTAATTTTATTTCTAAAAAATGGGTTTCTTTGAATATATTCACAGCGACGATGCCAAAAAATAAATTATTTAAATTATTGAATATTAATCAATGATGACCGTGTAATCCGTGTGTTGTAAGGGAACGGCCCATTTATTTCGATATCGATGAACTGAATTTTATTTTTTTTTGTTTTTTGTGTCATCGGCATCAACTGCTATGGTTATTAGCCTCGTGTTCTGTGTAGACTTTGTAACTGTTTCCCAGCGCCACTTTAGGAACAACACTGTTAATTAGTACCCAACAGTAAATGGTCGAGTGTGGAATCCTACCATTCACTGTTGGGTACTAGGGAAACAGTAACAAAGCCTACACAGAACACGAGGCTAATAACCATAGCAGTTGATGCCGAATTATTAAATTTTAGATTTTTCTGCAACCTTCTCATTTCGTTTCCGTGATATTGCAATTTCCGTTTTTTTTTACATTTTGTAAGATAACCAAATTTCAATAGTAGGGCTCTATCTGATTCCGCGTAATTAGATATTTTCTCTTTTTTCTAAATCACCAATTGCCCAAAAACAGAAAATAACAAGATCTTAAAGAAAAATGGAAGCAAAATAGAACAATTTTTATGTGAAGGTCGGTGACGATCAACACAAGACACGATATGTAAAACGGAAAATTTAAATTATCCAATAAAAACCATTTAACAAATTAGCAGAAATGCCAACCTGTCTAAGAATAAATAAAAACTATTAGACTACGTAGCTAGCAGTTAAATTCGTGATGAAAAACACTTCCATCCATATTCCATCGGTAACAGGGACTTTGACTGCCAGCTAAATATAGCTGTCGGCTACGTAACAGCCACTTTGACTGGACATTGAAAAACCGACCCTTAATCATCCGCTTCTGCTTTGGAATTGTCGGTTTTCTTGTTTTAATCTAACAGGTTAAAACGACTAAACCGACAATTCCGCAAGCAGAAGCGGATGATTAAAACGCACCTGATATTTTGCTTGCTGCTGTCAGTGTCAGTGAATATTATTTTTGAAGTCACAGTTTATTGCTAAAAAATCAGTTAGCTCACTCGAACCAGTTGAAAGTTCCAAAATAACATCCACTCCAGGGATACAAATTCACGATACGCAGAAGACTGCTGTTTTATTATAGGCGGTTGTCATATATTGTATTATCCGAGTTGCACAGTGTATAAACTGAAACATTGAGATCCAAAGTGCCGACGCAGAGTGAGCGATCTGATTCTTTAGCTGTAAACTGTGTCACAGGGTTCAAAATGGCCGCGCCCTATGTTGGGCGTGTCGGACCTCTCTCTTGCCTCGTATAGTAATCAAAGCAGGCCCATGACACTCCCTGGGCGGGAAAAAGACGCGCAGCTTTTACTGCGCTGACGTTTTCGGGATATAACCTATCACTTGTCATAAATCCGGTTAAAAACTCGCTACCATGCGCAGGCAACCCATATTTCGTACACAAATATAAACTTTTGTTTACATTTTATCGAAGTAGTTTTTGTAATACATTCACAGCTTAAAAACGGAATAGTATATTATGCAACGATCATGTAATGATGGTTATTAATACACGAGCATTAACCGGGATACGAAACGAGCCAAAGGCGAGTTTCGTATGGTTTATGCGAGTGTTTTAATAACCATTACATGAGAGTTGCATACGCTATTTTTTCTACACCCGATAAATAATCAAGACCTATAAATATTATATTTATATTGGTATTGAACACAATAACAGTAATTACTCGTATTTCTATAAAAAATTCTACAAAATTGTAATTAATGGTATTACTTCAGGTATTGGTATTTCCCTAGATTTTTGCGGTAAAATATTTTGTACTGTATTTTCTGCTTTCTCCGATATGTGTGGAGGAGTCTTCTATATCGCTAATATCAGACATTTTAATATTATAATTATCGAAGTTTAGCTACCTACGAAAATTTAATACGTTTTGACAACTAAAATAATTACATAGGAACCTAGGACAAACGTCAAACAGCATGCTTGATTGAAAAATTGTAGGTTTCTATTGATTAAAAATCTGTATCGTAATGAAAAATCTGTATCATAATGGGTATCATTATGAAACGGATTATGGGCATATAAGTGCATTATTATAATACGGGTGTAGAAAAAATTTGTTATTTTGATAGTGGATTTAGATCAAAAATACCCCAAATACACTTCAGTGTGTGTTTTATCCTTATTATTGCTCGTTTTATTTGAGGACATTGTAATAAATAGAGTACTAAAAGTAATCAAGCTAAAAAGGTGTGTTATAAAAAGAAAATACATTGCCTTCGACTGATTTATGTTTAATGTTTTCGTGAAGTATTTCCAACATGCTAGTTACTTGAATGGTTGTAAATTGTACGTGTATAAGTGATAAAAACATCTAGTGATTTGTGCTTCCTTTTTTTTGTTGGTGTCCCAGCCCAGCATTCCTAGCCAGCAGTAGTAGCAAAAACATTAACATTGTCTACATTCAACCCATTTACATGTACATGATTTATCAGCTAAAAGCAGAATACAATATTTCTCTGCAAAATGTAAACAAGGCTACACGGAAAATTGCTCATGTATAAATTCAACAATTAAATCAAAATATATTATTTTTAAAGGACTTATATCAACTATTATGCTAATTATAAATATAAGTATTTGTAACAAAATAATAGTTGTGTATTAATAAACCTGTTGCTACTCCAAAAAATATATTATTTATTGATTTTCAGGTATCAAAAATATATGTACCTATAGAAATTTGTTGAAATGTTCTATTGCTTTTAATCTTTTTAATGGGTTTTTATTATAGTTGTAAATAAAAATCAACACTTTTTATCCGTCTATTTAATACTTACAAACGTATGCATATTTTAAGTTGTAAGGATCCATAGCCTCTTAATGTTTTACATTAGAAATAAGACCTGTGATGTCACATTAAATTGTGAATATGAGGTAAAGGATTTAGGAGTTGTCTTTCAGTCTAATTTGAAGTTCAATAACCATTTTTTACACATAACTATAAAAGCATTAGGTTTTTAAATCAGAAATACAAAAAAAATTTAGGATTACCACCAAAATCAGATTATATAATGCCTTAGAGACTCCATCTTGAGTATGTTTCACAAATATGGATGCCCTTGGAAGCCACACAAATTGATCATATTGATAAAGTACAAAAAATATTTTTACGGTACCTTTATGTCATAAATAATACTTGTACCCTTATACCTAAGATCTCGTATAAAACTATGCTCAATAGTTTTAAGATTAAATCTCTTTTACAAAGAAGAAAGCAACAGGCTGTGATATATTTTGTACTCTATTTTAAGTACAAAGATTGTGAATTGATTGACTATATAAATGTTAATGCGGCAAAGATTAATCTAAGAAACCCAAGTAACAAAAAATTATTTGATTTAGATCCAAGTAGTATATCTCCTTTTAACAAGATGATGGCTGTTACTAATAAGTTTCTTAGCGAGATCCAAATAGATATCTTTAATGTTAGCCTAAGAAAGTTGAGGACTGTACTAAATTAAGTTCACTAGATATAAAGGTTTGTTTTGTTTTTGGTCTTAAATTTCTTGTTACTTAACTCTACATGTAACTACTTTTAATTTTTTTATAGTATCCAATAAATAAATTATACCTTATGGCTGCTTTCAAACAATTCTGTGTGTAGTCACTTAGTTTAAAGTCAATTTTAAATTAGTAGTTTTACAAGAATGTCAAATAGTAATATAGTATTGTGTCTATGAATTTGCTGTGTGTAGTAAATGGCCAATATACATAACTTTGATATTTTTATCACAAGTGTAAAAACTACGAAAACCATATACATATAGTTCCCATTTTAAAATAAATTCAAATTAATTCATAATAAAAAATAACGATTTTAGTCTGCTATACTTGAACTCATTCACAAAAACAAGTCACGAGTATATATTTGTAAAAAACTACACTAAATATGTCTCCGTTACAAATTTTTAAATTTAAAACTACATACTTTCCTATATATTTTGCAGTACCTAAATAACGTATAGAATAAATTTTTACAATATACTAGAAAAGTTTTAGATTAGAGTAATTCTTAAGAAATAAAGCAATACTTCTATTTTGTTACTCTAACCTTGTGTGTTATATATTTCCCTTGACAAACTAACGTTATATTTTGAACTAAAAGTAATTAAACTTTTCACCAAAAAGTAATATTTCACATATATAAAAAAATTTAAAACGGTTCTGTCCTTCTTGCATTTGCGAAGACTGCCCTGATAACTAATCTATTTTCTTCTTTAAAGTAATTAAGTTGTTCAACCGTTGTCTATTAAGGTATCTCACATCTCCCTCATACACACGAATTTGAAAAGCAGCAGAACAAAAATTCAACTAACCATGTATACCAAGTCCGTGTAAAGAAAACTTTTCATATCCCGAAAACGTCAAGTGTCAACTAAAATTTCTACTTTTAAAGATCAAACGTGCCGCCTCAGAGTGCCAATACTGATTGGTATATATACTGGGATCAAAGTATGTGACTTCATCACTGACAAGCAATAAACCAGTATCATCCCAACTGTCGTATCATTCAGACCTGTCCTCGATCCCTTTATACTACTGCGAGAATGTGGATACACCCTAATCTTGCGGCTAGCTCATCCTGAAGCAATCTTACAGCGGTACATTATATTACATCTCGTTGCTATAAAGGAGAATTATTTGTTCGTTTCTTTGGGTACAATTTTATTTGTAAAATGTTTAAGAACTTACCAAAAGACAGATACCACTAACAAAATCATAAGGAAACATTACATAAACGTACTGAAATATTCTCTTCTTTTGGAAGTGATTCCACGTGTCCCAGGTTAATATCACATTACCTTTTATAATATCTTCTTGGACTCTTTGAACCTGAATCAATACGTAATCACCTAAAAGTAATGTGTAATATTAATATAAAGGTTTATTTATAGTAGATTTATGTTTCATTAAAATATATACAGTGCTAGCAAGATCACCAAATGGACTGTTTATTAAACGGCGCTAAGACATGCATAAAAAAAAGGGAAAAGTATGAATGTTGCCATACAGCCCTCCGAGCAATTACTACTAGAGGGAGTCTTCCCCCCTTCCCCGCGCTAAATTTTGTTAGCAACATCTACTCCCCCCGAGGGGGAAAATACCTCTTCTGTAATTGGCTTATTTAATCAACGTTGCCAAGTTTGACAGCGCGTGGACAGCGCCAGTTCTGACACTTTCTGACACATGCCAATTTCGTTATTGTATTTTACGGAAAATATTATTATTTATAACGTTGTAAGGGTTGTAATTGTATATTTAAGATTTATTATCTCTAATAATATGGTGAAACATGCTTTATGTGTAAAAGGCCTGTTGAAAATGCTTCTTCAAGATATAATCATAAGTAAGTACAGACACAACCTAATTATCAGAGGTGGTGCATAGGCAATCACCTTAATTTGCAATTAAACTTACTTATTTTCTTATCGAAAAATTAAGAGCAAGTAAACTCCAGCTAAGTTCGTCTTCATCCATCTCATAATGATTATAGTAAAGGTTAATTACTTATTATTATTTTAATATCACATCTTTGTAAAGTTTATTGTTATTTTTTTAGGTTTCCTTTTCTTGACATGAGAAAGAAATACATGGTTCCAAAATATAAGAATTCAACAAGTGACCACCTGAATAACTTTTTATGCTAATGAACATTTTTATTAAAGAAACATTCAATTTCGACGAAAGAAGTATAATAATCAATCCTGTCACTACTTCTACACTGTATTCATCTGCTACTAAAATACTAAAACAGCAAGTAAGTAGAGAAACTTAAGTTTAAGGAAAAAGGCATAGCCATATTTTTGTTGACACTTTTTTTTAACTAATCTAAAAGACTAATTTTGTGTATTATTTAAATTTTCATTTTTTGTTTTAGGTTTAAACAAAATGAACTTCTAAGATTTGCATGGAATATCCCAAAAGAGCTAAGGAAGGTTTTAAAATTCTTAAGAAAACGATTCAGAACCAAAAACATAAAATAGTCTTCCTGTCCAAAATATAAATAGGTATAAATATTTAGATATTATGAGTGATTTTTTATTCTATAAATAGAACATAATTTGCTTCTAAATCACTACCTAATGAACTATATTATATAGTACACAACTAAACAAGAATATCAAATTATTTGTTTTTTTTAATTTCCTTAAAAAACGTCCCAAAAAAATGTGAATATTTATTATTGGAGTTTACATCGTTATGCTAAAACAATACTAGAACAACTTAAATAATGTGGATTTTGACTATTTTGAGTTATGCAGATCATTATGATCTAAAAAAATGTTTGTCTGGTGCTATAGTCAGGTATAAAAACATTCATTTATTTAAACACAGTTGCAATATACATTTTATTTGGTTTTTAAGTTAAAATCTATTAAGACATCCTAAAATGACTTTTTTCGTTTGATGTGAGATTAATTATTCTACATTTTTGTTGGTGAAATAGGATATATTAAGATGTCTTACTGTTTTCTCTGATTATCTAAAAAGTTAGAACAATATACAAAGACTGTTATAACAAAAAAGAGATATACCTTTACTTAAACACACAATTAGTCAGTTCAATTGTACGATAATTTAAAGCAGAAATCCAGAAAACTTTAAAAATGTGTTTAAATGTGTTTTTACTATAACAAGGACATAATTATTAAAAAAACTTGGCACATTAACTTTGACGATAGGTTTTTATAATATATATTATACAAATCACAACGAACTACACAAAATGACAATATTAATAATTTAGCAATAAAAAAGTTAAGTACAATGATGACATTAAAAGTTGAGTTTCTCGAAATACTTTTTTTAAATTGTATCAGTACCTGCCTAGTATTTTTCTAGCACAATGATATATGAATATGCATTGTGTAATATCTTATATTTTGGGAATAAAATGATATATTTTTTTGCAGGTTTCTGTTAACAACGATTCCAAGAACTTTTAAAAATATTATTAAAACGACCTTTGCAAATATAATTCTCAATTAAGAGCTTTTGATCTAACATTAAATTTTTATTCTCCATATGGTTACAGCTTCCTAAGAAAAAAGTTTAACAAGACTTACCAGACCCAAAATATCAAAATTTTACCAACCAATTGATGGTTCTACTGGTTTCCATAGGAAAATTCTTCTCGAAAATACTAAAAGAAAAGTGGCAGAGGCAACTGAAGAAGGCAAAAAAGTCTTTTGCAAAACAAAAACTAAAAATTTGTTTAAGAATCTAATTATTGTTTGAAGTTTTACCATTAATAATTTTTGATAACGATTTAAGATTATGAAGTTCTATTATGTATTTTACTCTTTGATAACCTATGTTTAAATTTTTATTAGGACCAAAATAAATTATAATTTTTATTTCAACTACAAAAACCCTCATAATATTAAAAAGGGGAAAAACTTAGATTAGATTAAACATTTATCTACTTAAAATGTGTTACACGCCCCTTTTTCTAGCCATCTACACCTGAGCCAGCAAGATTCGTCTTCCCTCCATCCTTACATTCTCCAGATTTACAGAGAAAACGCCGTTCTCTTTAACATATCCAGACCTTGTTTGATGGGGACTATACCACTACATTATCAGCTTTATTTTTTATCCCGAGCAATTTAAATGCATTCGTAATTGCTCATTCTCACCTCTTCTCTTGTAGATTCCGTACTCAGTTTTCTTATTTTTAGTTACGTTTGCACTGCTCTTTTATTTTCACAGCTTTAATTCTATAATGCTGTAACGCTACAATATGGATCCATTTTTGTGGTTTATACTATTTAGTGTTATTCGTAAGTGACCAACCTATTATAATAATTAAAGATTATTGTATTACAGGCCTGAAGATGTTCCTGTAAGGCCGAAACTAGTCGCTCCTGTATTTATAATAAAATTGATTTTAAGGTTTTATTCTTCAATTGAAAAAATTAGACCTTTACAGTGATTTTGTTTCATTTCCTGCTTTAGACACATATAAGACGGTATTAATTTTAAAAATAGTAAAATTAGCAAATTTTTTAGTTTTTTTTTTTTAAATTAAAACGTTTGGACAATGTGTGTTTTTATAGGTAAATGATACGCCACTGAACAAGAAGGATGTTTACCTTCCCCCTTGTGCCCGCTTCCTCACTTCCTCTATAGATGTTGCTAACACAACAATCGCCTACAAACTCGTTTTCACGCTCTCTCTATTAGTAATTGCTCGGAGATACAGCCTACTCCTAATTTCCAAGCCGACAAGGGTGAAAAAAACGGTCGGTGCGCATGACAATTCTACGTCACGTTTCCCACGGGCGTACTACGATAAGTTATATTATTTTTTAATAATAACGTGCTATTTTAATAATAATTATTATTTGTTTCAGCTAGTATTAATCAAAAATCATTTTTAAGTGATTTTCTTAAATTAAAAGGTGTCGTAGTTGAATGTAATAATCCAAACTGACACTTAGAAGAATTAAATGTTCCGACATATGTGAATTATTTTAAGACCTACTTTATAAATAAACAGGTGCAGAAATAGGTTCTGAAATGGAGGGAGGAGTTGGCGAAATAGTTCTTCGAGAAGGACATAAAGGAGTGTATGCCACGGCTGATCAAATACTTTTTCTAAAAAAAATATAAAATTTAGAAAATTTTCTTTCTGAACATACCTCGTATAACGCTTATGTACTTCTCTTAAATAAAATGTGCTTATTAAGTATTTATTAACTTACCTATAAATACAGTAACAAAAAAACCCAGAAGCCATAAAAGCTTCCGTTTGACAGGAATCGGTTTTCCAAATTTCATTATTGCTTCATCTAACTTGTTCCACTTTTTCAAAAAATTGTTCCAATCTTTAGCAATGGAAATAAAAAACATACTAACAAACCATGATTTTCCAAAATACCAAAATCTCTGTACCTCTATCATTTGTATATTAAACTTAAAAAACCTGATCAGTTGTATAGCCGTCATGAAAAATAGGCCTATACATGTTATCAGTGCGTAAAGAGCTCTAAAAGATCTCCAAGAGAAACGTATTTCGGTTAACTGTTTTTTGAATATTCCTTGTAGAGGCATAAAACCAAAAATTTGCATTGTGAAAAACAGCCAGCTAAAAACGTTATGTATAGATGAATCTTCATTAAAATTTTCTTCGTATCGTTTAAGCTGTTTTGATTCCATTTTTTGTTGCGTGTTCTTAAACAAATATCATTAATCAAATTATTAGTAATTATAGCAATTATTTAGGTACAAAAGTTTTGGTGTAGGGGCAGTATATCGGAATTATGCTTTCTGTGGGCGTTAAGTGTCACACGCTTAATTGTTAATTTATTAAAAACTACTATTTTGATGATTCTAAAACCGAAAGTAATCCAAAATTGGACCACGTAGAAGGGCACTGTTTTCAAAAAACGGTACCATTGCAGAGAGCGTAACGTGTACTATAATATAAGCACAAAATCCAAAAAGTCACTTTTCAAGATAGGAAAATATATTATTTTAAACATTTAAAAAACCATTGGGACTTACGGCACAAAAAAATTAAAAATGCAATTAATTCGGTTTTATCTAAAGAAAAAATTGCCAAAAATGTTGTACTTTTTATGTTATCATTACGAAATTAGCTGAACAAGATTTTAAAACAAATAAAGTTACTTTTTATAAAAGTTTCTAAAATGTGTTTAGATCATAACAAAATATCAAACATATTTTTATATTTTATAATAATCAACTTATGTTAATTAATATAAAACAAATCAATTAAAACGGCTGCCGCGAGTGATCTACACTCGGCTAACGGTGTTATCATAGATAAATTAATATTTAAGAAAAATCTTTTAAACGCACGGCACTGGTAACACGTTTTAATTCCTCAGCATACTATTTGGAGCTACCATCGCACATTACACAATTGGCTCGATAGTTAAATAAAAAGTCTAGTTTTCCCGCGGTTCATTTAAATATACCATTTATTTACATTTTGTTGGAATTCATTACTCAAAAAAAACCTAAAAACTAAAAACTTTGAAGAAATTGTTTTGCTAGCCTTGACTACTTAATAATTTTCACAAAAGTATAAAACGACATGTAAATAGCAAATCTCATATAAGTGCTACAATTAAAGAAAAAACATTTAGGACCTATCGCATTGAACATAGTTTGGACAATCATTTAAAAATAAGCAACAAAATTCACAATGAAAAAAAAAAAATAGGGACGTTTTACAACGATTAATAAATGTAACTTGTTTCCTGGGAGAGCATGAACTAAGTTTTAGGGGTCACAATGAAGCAAGTGGATCCGCCAATCGAGGAAATTACATAGACCTTCTAAGTTTTTTAGCAAAATACGATGATGCCCTAAAAAATCATTTTATTAATTCGACGACTTTCCGAGGTACCTCAAACAGAATCCAAAATGATTTAATTAAATGCACTGCCGACGTTGTGATGGATCACATTAAAAGTGAAATTAAAAAAGCACCTTTCGTATCAATTGGGCTTGATGAAACCACAGATGTAGCAAACTTAAGTCAATTATCCATTGTTGTGCGATATGTATTGAATGGCATTCCTCAAGAGCGATTCTTAGGATTTTTGGACGTCACTAGCGAACGAACTGCAGATGCATTGTTTAAAATTGTTTGTGACAATATTTCAAGTTTAGAATGTGGTTCTAACCTTGTTGCCCAGAGCTACGATGGTGCTGCTGTAATGGCTGGCCATTTAGGAGGCCTTCAAGCTAAAGTGAAAGAGAAGTTTAAATATGCAATTTTCGTTCACTGTATAGCCCATAGACTTAATTTGGTTTTATGGCGAAGATTGGAAAGTTTTCTTTTCGATGCTTTGTGGTTTGGCTTCCTTCTTTTCAAAGTCATGGACGTTCAAAGAAGGTTTCCAAAAGTTGCTCCGACGCGATGGAACTACAATGGACGTTTAGTGCAAACAGTGTTTCAATACCGTGATTCTTTGATAAACTTTTTTTAAGATGTTTGGGATAATAAAGAAACATGGGATGCTGAAACTGTTATTGCTGCTAAAGGGTATTTGCATTGGCTCAAACAAAACTTTGATTTCAATTTTTTGCTTAACATTTTTGCAGAGATTTTCCCTTTTACTGACATTTTATTCAACATGTTACAGACAAAGTCAAATGACATTGGCTTTTGCATTAAATAAATTGATGATTTTAAAAATAAAATGAATAAAAAACGAGATCAGTTTGAACACTTTTAGAATAAGACTCAAAACATTGGCTTAGAACCTGAAAGAAAGAGAATTAGAATTAATAATGTCGGCGACAAAGAGACCTCCTATCGTCAATTAGACGCCGAAATTTTTGATAATATTCTACAACAAATGAACTCTCGATTTCAAAACCTTAACGAATTAAAATTTGTTGAATTGTGCAATTTTAATATTAGTAACTACGATTCATCAAAAGTGCGTCAGTTGAGCTAAGTTTTTCAGCTTTAAAGCGTATTAAAAGTTTTATATGAAATTCAACAAGTGAAGACAGACTCTCTAATTTAGCCCTAATATCCATTTAACAGCTTGTTAAACAGTTTTCAGAAAATCCAAAATTTTACGACGATGTAAAAGACAAATTTGTAGCCATTAAGGATAGGCGAATAGATTTTTAGTATAAATAAATGTCAACTGCTGTGTTAACTGTGCGAAAAATGCTGGAGAAAATAAAAAAAACAACAGTTAAATGTTTTTTTTACGTTTAAATAAACCAAGGAAGCTTTTCAATGGTAAGTTTTTTTTATAGCTTCTAGTACTAAACTAGGTAATAAGGTAATAGTAACATTTCAAAAATCTCAATCTCGAATATCCTTAGTACTGAGGAAAAAAAAAAAAAACCAATATTTTGAAAAAATGGTGAATGCGCCGCGAAAAATTTTCGTCTGCGGCGTTGTGCTTATTGGCCTGCTGCATTTTTTTTTCTAAAAAATGTCACCGCACGCCACTGAAGTTGTGGCTTGGGAATCAAATTAATTGTCAGACAAAGATAATTTGCGTGTTTTATCAATATTTAAAGTGATTATTTCATTGTATTTATGCACTTTTAAAGGCTTCCCTTCCTGACTAACTAAAAATATCTCTAAATTATCTAATAATGAGCCTTTATCTTGTTCGCATTTGGCATCATAACTTTTTCTAGAAACTAAATTGCTTCAGACTGATGATATCTTTAAATTGGATTAAAAACAGTTAGAGTATTAGCAGCTCCACACTGTCTTATGGACCCAAACATGTTGTAAATAAATCACGAATCCCATTAATGGTTATCAACCAGCAGTTTTTAAAAGGTAAACTCGATTTTACTTTATTGTTTTTGCTTACAAATTTAGGATGAAATGACCAACTCTTTATTTTATTTTCTACTTTTTCCCAAAATTTAAAATCTGCTGATTTCTTTGAAATACACCTTCTTAATGGTTTTCCACAATCTGGAGTTGGTTTGTTTTAATTTAAACTATCAAACAAATTATCTATGTCTTTCACAAATTCTGCAGTATCAATTGCAGATGCTGCTAGACTTCTAGGAGTAGAACCAATCATGTTTTCTATAGCTGTAGACATTGTATGACATAGAACTTTAGCGGCAACTGACACTTTTTTAGTGTAGATCACTCGCGGCAGCCGTTTTAATTGATTTTTTTCGCAATTTTTTCTTAAGATAAAACCGAGGAAATCGTCCTTTTTAATTTTTTTTAGTCGTAAGCCTCAATGGGTTTTTTAAATGTTTAAAGTAATACATTTACCTAACTTGTAAAATGACTTTTGGATTTTGCGGTCATATTGTAGTCCATGTTACGCTCTATGCAATGGTACCAATATCTCGTTTTTTGAAAATAGTTCGGTTTAAGAATCTCAAAATATTAGTTTTCAATTCACTAAAAATTCAGCTTGTGACACTTAGTCCCCTACAGAATTCATTTCTAGAGCAGTTTTGTTACAAATAGCACCATACTATTTAATAAATTTTATTTGTATACGATTTGGGAAAATAAACAATCGTGCCATGACAAGTAAAGTTATTGTCTGGAAAGAACTGTTTTTAAAAGGTTCTAATGAAAGTAAAAAAATATGTACAGAAATTAAGTAATAGCATAACATAACAAAGCAAGTAATTTATATTGATGAAAGAGAAACAAAATAATGGATTTTTTTTTGTATTTTTCTGAATAAATAAAGTTTTTTTATTATTTGTATATCTCGGGCACAAAATACAAACAAATTAGTTCTCACAAACGCCAAAACCTATCCAGTTTCCAAGATATATACTGGTGTATCTAGGTATGTACCTATGAATAAGTTTAGATTAATCCTGTGATTTCGCAAATAAATATAAAAAGAAAGTAAAGAGTAAAAAACAATAATTCGCAATAGATGCAATATTATCGATAAAAAATATTTAAACTTAAGGTGCAATTAATAGATATATGAATTTATACTCTTATATTGGGTAAGTAAACAGTATATTGTTCAACAAAAGGGAAAAGTAGTTTCCCCACATGTTACACACTATACTTTTTCTACAACTGCACAAATTTAAAGAATACAAGTTTTCGACAGCTCCTCAAAGTATACCAAAAGTACACTTTCCGAAAAAGATTATATTTTTGTATTTCTTCTTCATTCCATAAAATTTTTGTGTGTCAATTCAAACTTTTTTCTTGAAATTACCGGCAACAAATCTAATGTTACTGTTTCAACTTTTTTCAATATCTCTGGCAAAGTATTATCAAAATCGATAGTAGGGACAGTATCCATATTATTTATTATAAATATGTCTTAAAATAATATTTAACGGAAATTTCGATTTTTACTTTTCTATCTGTATACAGATATAAGGAAAGTACAGGAATCATGATTTTTTTCGACCTCGAGTTTTCGACGGATTTTTACGTTTTGAGGTCCCCTGAATCCGTTTTGACTATTTTCGGGATGATGTCTCTCTGTCTGTGTGTGTGTGTGTGTGTGTGTGTGTGTGTGTGTGTGTGTGTGTGTGTGTGTGTGTGTGTGTGTGTGTGTGTGTGTGTGTGTGTGTGTGTGTGTGTGTGTGTGTGTGTGTGTGTGTGTGTGTGTGTGTGTGTGTGTGTGTGTGTGTGTGTGTGTGTGTGTGTGTGTGTGTGTGTGTGTGTGTGTGTGTGTGTGTGTGTGTGTGTGTGT